TTTTTATTGGGGGCACTATAGTAATAAGTGTTTGACTGTCTGTGATGTGTTTCACACTTCAAGCAAAATAGAATTTTTAATTCATTTTTTTTAGTAAGTACATTGTTTACTTTATTCCTCCAATAATTATTGTTTAAATTACCCAGAAAAAATAGAAACTTAATATAAAATGGTTTCAATGATGACAAAGTTAAAGAGTGATTTTCATTGGTTCAATTTTACATAGGGCACCCTATAAATTATGTTAAATATTCAAAGAGGTGATAAAAAACCTCAGTTTATAAAAGCAACGGTCGAATCCCACACAGAGAATTACAGTTCGTGTTAATTAAGTCACATTTTATGTTGAATATGGAGCAAAAACTTAGATTGGACTGAAGACTCCTTGTTTTTAGAAACTTTTTTAAAAAATAAATTTTAATTATATATTAATTAACCCCATGTCTCTTGATAGATAATGGATAGTAAAGATTTCACAGCGATTCCATAACTAACCTTTTGGCAATTCAAAAACAAGCTGACCTCTCTCACTAAAACTTCATCAATGCTCAATCTGGAAAACTGGAGTGAAGTTTCGACTTGCAAACGTAGTACATTACAATAATAATATGTATTATATTATATTAAAATTTGAATAAATCTTTGTGTATTTTCCAAATTGGGCAAGAAAGCATTATAAGTCTATTTAAGGTCCAAGGTATTTTAAATAAATTCCATAACTTATTAATTATTTCTCGTTAACAATCACAGAAAATTCAGGAAAAAAATAAGCTTAATTTGCATAAAATTCGAAAAGTATACAATTTATAATTGATTATTAATTTGTAAGTCTACACAATGAAAAGTTAAATCAAAATCTGCCTATTTTTAGGAGTTTCAGCCAATTTTAATTGTAATTAGTACACATTTTGATTTATTATTTTACATGAAAATTAATCCCTCCCTCTCGTTATACTGTCATTTAGTCGGTGATCAATATATTGTGCCAACTAGTATTTCATTATTTGGAAATTTTCTTTTCTTTCTTAATCCTTAGACACAAATAAAATATTTTATTTTAAAGCTTAATGTAAATTAATATTAAGGAATTTGATAAATATTTCACACTTAAGGAATGAAATTATTTATTTTGATAATTTTGTATAAAAGAACATCTTCTGCTGCCATGTATACTTACAACTTTGATTTCTTCAATAGGCTAGTGATGGTTGTAGACATCCACTATTTTGTATGAAAATATGAAGAAACTTTAACGAATTATTTAATAAACATATTAACTTATGATAATTTAGAAACATATGAGGAGTTCAAAGCTCATTAATTGAATATTTTTTAGTTATTTTATCTTTATTGTAAAATCAAGAATTTTAATGGGGGTTATAATTTGATTATTCTAAAAAAAATTAAGAGGGAAAGATCTGAAAATATACATTGTTAATAACTATTAATCTATAATTTTTTAATAAAACTTTTAGACTTAATCAGCTTTAGCTTTGAATGCCTCGCATGTGTATATATTTATAAGCATGAATATGGAGGAATTGTATTGAAATCAAATGCTACTACACTTCATAAAAATGGAAGTTTGACAATGACATTTAAATCGGTTTAAAAAATAAATAAGTCAGTAACTAAATAGGGAGTTAGCACTCAGCTAAACCACAGTTAACTTTCCAACTAAGATTATTCATTTTCATTTAATTGAACATTAAGTGAGCAATAATGACATTTAAAACTGTTAGTTAAAGGAAAAAAACTAGGGCTCGCTCTATATGCGAGAATACTCTAATCCTAAACTTTTTTTAATAAGATAAAAACATTTAGAAATTTCAGGATAGCTTCCTTACCATTTTTTAAAATAAAAAAATGTTAAGGACTAATACAACCTCCCATTGTCATGTTTACTACCTACCTCATTTCACAGCCATTATATTTTAACAATTACATTAATCTTAATAAAAATTGATAAGGTAAATGGATCTGCAAATAGACACTTCAACAGAAATCTTTAACATTGTGAACCGCAACTTTATGGTTCTGATGATGGATCTTTGCAAATGAGTTCGTCAGTAAATTTAGACTTTTATTGATTTTTTTTTTCTATACAGTCAATTAGTTATTTATAAAAAACATGGGAAATTCAGACAGCATACCAATAGCCACATTGCAAAAGTCTGTAAGTGCAAAACACAAAATTAATTATAAGACAAAATAAACCATGTATTTCTTATTTTATGAAGTAAATTTTCCGTTCAATTTTTATTGCAGGCTCAATACGAAGATGTAATATTCTAAAAATGTTTTTAGGAATATGTCAGTAACTAAGATTATCTAAGTCCAAAACCGCACATCCTAATTAAATTATACATAAGAGGCTTTGGCAGTGTGGCTGTCGATACATAGCATCAGAAATAGATCTCAGGTTTTTGGGGTCACTAGGTGTTTTTTTAATATCAACAAACCTAAAAAATAATTCTGCACAGCTGAAAACTAAGAAATGGCAAATTAAAAGTGATAAGGAAAGCTAACAAACAAAGACCGAGCCTTGCTCGATTAAAACATTAACTGACAATTGGCTATTGTGGCATGATATCAGACGAGGTTCAGGCGTCACCTTCTTAATTGTTCTAGCTGCTAACCTACTAGTCATGTGCGCTCTCTATGGTGTGTGTATAACTTATTATTTGATATAATGAGTTAAAAACTGTCTATTAATAGTGTCTTTTACGAATACATTTACCTTACAAGACAATTTGTACATTATTTCCCGAATTTCTTCAAATTTTAGGCCAAACCAAATCAGCCTTTTTGAAATTTTTGCAAAGAGAGGGAAATACGTTAGTGCATCTTTAAGAGAAAATAGGTAACGAAATTTGAGAAAATTGATACTAGACAATTGTTTCACTAATACCTCCAACTTTGAGCCTAATCGAACAAGCTATTTATCATAAACAGGCTATAACGATAACCATATTATGTTAGCCGATCCAGAAATGGAAAGAATTGAAATTAATTCGGGACCATTATCAAGGTATTACCCCACATAATCTCTAAAAAATTCAATAATATTGGATTGATGGTAGTAGGTGATATGATTATCACTTGGATTTGAATACAGAAAGACCGGGAACCAAAATTGTTCCTTGATGTCCGAAACTTAATACAAGAGTGGACATTTTTAATTCGAAGCACAAAACATTTGTCAACCTCCTGCACAAATACTTCTTTGGTCTCAGGGAGCGTGAGAAATGTGAAAATCTAACCTAAATTTGTCCTGAATCAATACTTTCCTTACCTAGTAGCGGTAAGAAAATGATAAAAGTATTAGTATTCATATCTGATTTGGAATAAAAAAATATATTTCTCTGTTTGTGTAGGTTGTATACAATTTGAAAACAAATTTTTTCAATTATTAATATTCTTTTTCTAAAAATCTAGTCCAATCATTTAATGAAGCAGGTGGGATTACAAATGCAACTGAAGATTTTCTTTCTAGTTTTCAATAGTAAAATAAACATGTTTTTTAAAAGAGGAAATCAACATAATATTTAGTCATTTGTTTGTAGGATCATGTTCGATCGTCTTCACAAAACGATCAAATATTCTTTAAGGCAAAGCTTTAAAAATAAAAGTAAAACAAGACTACTGAATTAAAATAATGGTAAAACTATAATAATGTCATGTCTGGTTGACAGGTGAGTCAACATCACACCATACTTGAAATGCCGAAAATAATAACTAACTTTCTAAGGTAAATATAACCTACAGTGTCAATTGACAAGTCCTTAAATTTAGTTTATATTTCCTATCTGATTTCGAACACAATTTTTAATGTTTTTTACTGAGAGGAATTATGATACCCTAAGATTATTAAATACAATAACTATGAATAACAATAATTACAAAGATATGAATTAAATTAAAAAAAATTAAGACCAATTTAATAAGGTAACAACAAAAAATAAATAAGGTGTTCAGGATTAAAGGATTAGAAAACAAATTTTTAATTCCCACATGCTTTTGACTTGTGACAAATACAGAAGTAAAACAAATTTGAATGAATACTTGTTATATCAATTGTAAATAAATTTAAAATCAGATGAAATTAAACCAACTGTATATATGCCATCCTATTTAAATATTAATTTCACAGATTATTTATTTAGTCCGATTCGTTCGACTGTTGTTCTTGGATCAAGAGAAAGACACATCGGCTTTTTGTGTACAGTGTGATAAAGGCTGATCTGTCAACTATGCCTGACGCTATGATAGTTTTATCAAAACGATCAATAGCTCAATGATGAAAGAATTGAAATAAATGAATAAAAGTCAACAAAATTAAATTGTCATTAAAAGTTTAATTTTTTGATATGGAAATATTAAAAAAAAAAGAGAAAAGAAAAGAAAAGAACAAACAATTACAATCAAAAGTCTTAAGCTAAAAAAAAATATATTAAATAATTATGTATTACATAAAATTAAACTAAACGAAAAGAAAAAAACACAAACTTGATAAAAATAAAAACCCCTCTTTAGCAATGTATAAAACCAATCTTACAGTTAAAAAGACGAAACATTGACTGATGTTATTTTGGAAGCTATGTTATAAGCAAGCAGAATATTTTGTTAACTTTAATTTAAAAATAAACATAATTTAATGGTTATTTTTATTGAAATTCTGTTGACATATGTACCAGGCAATGCTAGTTCCATAACTAAGGTAACATTACTAAATTGTTATTAATTTATATGTTATTTAATTCCTTGAATAAATATATAATTATTTATCAATTGTTAGCAGATTTAAAAAATAACAAATGAATGCCCGAATTTTTTTAGAAAATTAAACAAAATTTAAACTGAAAACATTAATGAGAAACAGGTTATGCCAAATTATTTACATCATAAATATTTTGAACTGTTTGAAACTATTTAATGAATTTCATCTGAACGTTTTCTTTAATTTCAATATTCAACATTTAAATTTAATTTAGAAATGACACTATACATCATTTTTTAAAGAATAGCTATTGCCTGGTTCACATTATCGAAAATAACATGTAATCAATAATATTGAAAAAGAACTCTAAATATAGATACAGCTTCGGACGACAACATAATTGAAGATAATACATGAACATGAAATGATCAGTACATATCCCGACTCCTAATTATTATGCTCATTTGATTTTATACATTACACATTTTGTCATTTATAATAAAATTAACCATTATTACATTACTTTAAGACAACGAAAACATTACAACAAAGAAAAGGAAAATAAAATAAAAGGAAGAAAGCTCATTTTGAAAGCTACTTTACAAGCATAAAATGAGCCTAAATAAACCTCAAATCTTTTTGAGGGGATAAAGAAATAAATATTAATAAATGTTTAAAAAATAAAAATATTTACGCTAAAGCATTTTATGAAATGCTATGTATGAAAAAAAAAAACATAGCACACTAAATATTTGCACAATATTGAATCTAATTCATAAACAATTATCTAAAGAATTTGATCAAAGATTAAATTTGTTACACATTTCTAACAAATTGTTATAAAGAAATAAAAAAAAAAAAAAATTGTTTTTTGCAAAATTACATTACTCAACTTGGATTTTTGTATAGCTGACTAATGTGAGTTCATAACGACAGAAAATCTGATTCTCAAGAAGTAATACGTCAACATCGCATTACATTTATTACTATGAGAACATCCATTTTTTACAAAATTCACAAACATCTAACGAATGTTTAAATTATTATTACAACCTACACTCGTACAAGATACTCTTGCAGACTCTACAGTGCTACCAACAACATTTAATATTTATAAATATGTATATAAATAGTAAAATTAGCAATATATCTAATAATCATTTGACTTCTTAATTATATTCTACTATATGGCTTAAGAAACATAGGCAGCAATTGCACCAGTTTCAAATAGCTTCATCGATAATTATTAAGTTAAAAATAAAAGAAAAAGAAAAAAAACTTTATAATGTTAAAGAATGCATAACCCCAATAAAAATTCTTTTATCTTTTTAAGTAACTATTAATTCAAAACACAATAAATAACATGCCTTTACTAAACTAAAGTGGAGATCTTATCGGGTTATGTAATCTTAAAAACAGAAATGACTAGACTGTTTGTCACAGTTTAAGAAATAAACCAGATTCTTTATGAAGACATATTTTTATTTGTTTTGAATGACACTTGTAAAACATGATTGCCAAGAGAGTAGCCATTAAGTGACTGTATAGCAACGACAGTTTCATCATAATTTGTCATCGTTACAAAACCGAATCCTTTGCATTTGTTTGTTTGCAAGTCTCTAATGATCTTAACATTTTGTACAGCACCAAAAGGCCCGAACAGCTGCCATAGAACGTTCTCCTCAGTTTCAGGTGGCAGATTATAGACAAAAATGCACCATCCAGATCCGTTTACAGCATTCCCAGGAAGCATTGCATTCGGAGGCAGGTCGGCCAAAGGAGAGTATCGGAAACGGCCAGCGGAATGATGTATAGGACCGCCAAAGCGACGAGCCGTTTGCGGTGTTAAATAAGCAGCTATCGGAGGCGGTATTACCTTGTTTAAATTATTAGGATTGCTGGCAAACTTAACGGTAATAGGTTCAATGGCTCTTTTAGGAACTGATCCATTTAATTCTTTTATCGCCCTTTCAGCTTCGGTTCGCTGGTCGTATCTGATGAAACCAACTCCTTTGGATAAGCCTGTTGTACTGTCAGAGAGAATCCTCGACATGATAATTTTGCCGTAAGGACTGAACAAGTCTTCCAGATCTTGCTGTGTCATATTTATAGGTAGCCCACTTACATACAAATGTGCTCCTTTGATAGCATCACTGCTAGGTCGTGCGAATGATACCTTGATCGTTTTATTCTGCAAGCGTAACCCATTGAGTGTACTGATAGCTTTTTCAGCATCCTCTGGTTTGTGGTAGTTGACAAAACCATATCCTAAACTTAGGCCTGATACTTTGTCTCGAACCAGTTTACAACTGTCTACTTCGCCGACGGAGGCAAACAGAGACCTGATCTCCTCCTGCGACATTGTTTGAGGAAGGTAGTTGACTATCAGGTTAGTTCTGTTTTCTTCTTGGTTTGAACTGCCTTGCGAAGAGTCGTGAGAGTTGTTCGAAGATGAGGTAGAGTTATTGTGAGCAGAATCATTCTGCTGGGAGTCGATTCCGTTCATGTTTGTAATATTGGAAATGTACGTATTATGAAATTTAATTTAAAGAGGATTATGAGATTCCTATAGGCTCGTCAAGAAAAACCTACAACTGCAGATAAAATTTATCTGCCTAATTGTACATAAATTTAATACAAAAAACAAAACAAAAAACTTCCTAACTATGGTATCAACTTTAAGGATACCGCAGATATTAATGGATAATACTCTTTCCAATTAAAAATTATGGAAAATAATGCTAGAGCAGACTAAATATAAACAGCAATAGCAGTATTGTTATTTTCAAAAATTAAAATGTTTAAAATGTGTTATAAAATGTTATTGACACAATTTACAACACAACTCGTAAAAATTTAACAAATGCTCTGTTTCAAAACTATCCCTAATATAATTATATAGCAATTCCAATGTTGCTATAGAAACTTGTCGTTTGATTTTCTAAATATCTTAACATTCTTCTTAAAGAATCCTTTTTAAAAAAAAACTTGTAATGTTCTTTTTGGATGAAACTAATGGCAAAACTGCATCTGAAACAAATTGAAATAAATAAATAAAGTGGTCAAAACAACAAATAAAATGGAGGAGGATGAGAGGAGTAAAACATTCATGAATTCAGGAATATGGATAAACAGTGCTTTTGCTCCTTCTTACAATGATGAATAACTAATTTATTCCTTCATTGAATATAACTTAAATGTAATAATATAATTATAATTTGCAGTTCATAATTTGCAACTAACAAGCAAATATCAACTAAGATCTAATTCTTAAAATTTTAAAGATATCTACATAACAGTGGAAGGGGGAGAGGAGAACAGAAATGATAGGGTAGTAAGTTAAGTTGTTGTAGTTTTAATCCATAAAGCCGCATTTATGCATTTCACAAACTGTGGGAAACCAGAGAGTGTAAAGCGAGTGTTTCTCTAGAGTTCTTTTGTTTGCAGGCATTACACCCGGTCAATTTTTCAAGAGAAATAAAAGGGAGCTCATATAAGGACTAATGTCGCTTTTACACATTTGTTTATTGTTTTTGAAGCTTCGGAAAAGTTGGTGAATTTAATGGTTCCTGATTTTTGAGGAAGATAATATAGTGAGATCAGATCATAAAAAAAAAGTAATCTGAAAGGTTTGCTGACAAGACAATTTCATAATTCTGATATAACACATCAACAACCCTATTAGGGATTTCAAAATATTATAATACACATAGGCACACATTTAGTTTGCCTCTTTATGCGTTTTAATACTCTTGGTCTAGAAAGGATAAATTAACCATTTGGAAAATCTGGGATAACAAATAGGGAAGGTTATCCTATAAAATCCTATTTTTATTTTGTTATAACTCAAGTTATCCCAGCTCTTGCCCATATAAATTAAGTGGTTACATTACAGCAAATATTATTATGACAGGAACACCTTACTAGACAAAAAAAAAAGGGGGTACAATAAAACTGACCTATCAACTATAATATAGCATATTGAAAGGTTTAAGTTAAAAAAATATTCCTAGAAAGCTTTTTTAAAACACCGCAATCACTAAAAAATCTGCATTTAAAGAAATTCAATGGCCTATAATAATAAAATCTGGTCCTATCTTATCCACAACAAAATTTTATTTTCAAATCTTACAGGTAACTTGAATATTGAATTTCAGACCTTTTATTCTTTATTCTAGCTTAACTACTATGTCAAATAAACAACTATGTTCTTCTAAAGAATTCATAAAACATAAAAACAAAACAATCAATAACAATATTTATAGCGAGGATAGACCTTGGACTATTTCCTAAAAAAACAAGTGTTTGCAAATGATTAAGAAAATAAAAATTCTAGTACAGCTTAGGAATATATTTATAAAACTTTAAATGGCACATCAATGGTTTAGAAGTGATACCTCATAACACACAAAAAAGCAGATTTTATTATTAAAAATAGATTTGATGTTCTGACATCATTAATGAGACCTGACCTCGTATTTGTTGATGAGGCCGATATGGGTGAAAAATGGGATATCATGACAGCTATGATCACTAACAAAGAATAGTAGAGAAAATTAAAAACATATTTTTTATACCTTATATAATACATATGTACACTAGAAAAACACTTTAATTTTAAGGTTTTTCGTTACATTTAATAACAGTTTTTATCAGGAGTTGAAATATTTAAGCAACTTTTTTGTAAGTTCCAGGTATACAGTAAAAGTTAAACTTGTATTTATTCAAGTTAGAAAAAAAAAGTTCAGCTAATTGAAAAATAATTAATTGAGCTTAGATTAGTTATAATTTGCCTTCAATAAATTGCACATGATTCTAATGCGTCGATTGTTTGAATAGCTAAGAATAAAAGTTCTGTAAAACCTTTACTTGACAAAGGAAAAGGTTCTAATTCCAAAAGAACTGAAAACTATAGATAGTAAAAATTCCAGTGGTACCAAAAGTATTCAAAAATTAAGTGGTACCAAAAGTATTCAAAAATTAAAGGTTGTTTTGAAGAAATAATCCAAAGGAACTAACTCAGGTGGTTTGATAATATCTCGCGAATGGCTGAAGACAGAATTGCCAGCTAACGAGGTCAGAGTGGAGGGAAGGCGGTCACAGGGAAGAGATTTTTGGGTTAGGCTCAATAGAAAGGAACCTCACACCACTCAGCGGTAATAGAGGACTGGATTAAGTAACTACGTATGTTGTTTTTTTCTGTTTCGAGTCCTGGTTTATGACCCTACTGTACAGCAGTCCTTTTTCAAATATGAGGTATCATTTCTCAGCCATACATACTGTGACCAATAACATTTAAAAAAATAAAATAAATAAATTGCAAGTATTCTTGTTATAATAACCCAATCATCATTAACTAATAGTTTTTATAATAAGTTAACTGTTTTAGATATATAGCAAGTTTCAACACTCAGTGCTAATTCCATTTATGGAATCCAGCAGTGACGGACGGCAATTTACACCAGGATCATAGATGACCTGCTAAATTCAACCTGAAGATTAACACTCCTAGAAGGTAACAAAAGAGATGAAAAATCAGAATGAAAAAAAAAAAGGATTAGAAAGTAAACTGAATATAAATATCAAAAGCAAATTGAGAAATAACAACATGGAGGTTATAGTGAGGTTACATTCAGCAGATCTGTCATTCCCAATAGCAGATGGCACCAAAGAGCCATAGATGATGATGATTATTATTCAATAAACAGATACATGATTTCTATCAATGAAGAGTTAAGAAACTTGCCCATAACACTGGTTAACAAAACGAAACGTTCTATTGTGTTATATATATCATTCTAATTATTTATTTAGTTTTTTCAATAATAGTGCAATATAAGACAATTGTAGATGTATTTCAAAGACTTGGCTAAAGCTCACTAAACAATTAAAATGGTAATCCTATTATAGCCATACACCCATTAAACATGTTATGTCTAAAACCCATATCAATAAAAGAAAATTAATGTTTACAATAATAGTGTTAATTACAATCCAAGACAGGAATAATGGTTGATTCATCAAAATAACAGAAACAATTAATCCGTAAACAAAATATAAGTGATAACATAGAATAGCTTAATGTAAAAACGAATAAAATTTAATCAGTGCAGAGATAGCACAAACTACGACAGACTATAAAATACAAATAATTAACAAATTATTAAACTGAGACATTTTTATAAGACAGTCAAATATATACATTATTTGATAAGACATGTTTCAAATAAAAACATTATATCGAGACAGGAGCTAGAAATTAGGTGAAAATATATTGATACAGAACTATTCTCCATAAAAAAATAAGGATTAAACAAAATAAATCAAGAATAGGTGAAAGAAATATCTCAAGGGGATCATAGGAGAGAGGTTTACTTTCATAAATGTTTTTCAAGGTTTCTAAATGTCCTGTATAATAAACACTCTACAATATGAATTATACATTTAAACAATTCATGCCGGTAACTAATTTCAGGATTTAAAAGTCTAGAACGGCAATTTCATATATTGAAATTACATTAAATCGAAACAAATAAAACAAGCCATAAGTATGGACAGCATACTCAACAAAAAGTCCGTTTTGTTTTTTTATGACATAAGAAAACATAAGTTTTCGGTTTCTCGTCCATTTAGGTAATAGTAATTTGTTGGCCAAAATAAAAAAAACTTACAAGTTGCATTAACACAATTGGTTAATAGCAATAATCTTAAGTTAGTTGCTTATCAACTATATCAAAACCTGTAAACTACATGACAACTACACTTTCTTCTGATACTTATCACAAGTATAACACAAAGAAGCAACAAATCAATAACACAAGTAAAAATTTTCAGGATTGAATAAAGTATACGTTGGATATTAATATTTCCTGAGGAGAATCTAATAGAGAAAACCAACAGTTAAACACTTGAGATTATAGATTCAAAATTTTGGACTTGTTATCATAAATCATGATAACTATTAACATGAAATCTTAAATTTATAATTTAAGGGTTAAGAATACGAAATAATGAGATTGATAAAGCATTCCAACAAATAACCTCCAGCTTAAATATTAAAAACATAACAAGCTAGCACATAGGCCAATATCCAAATAGTTAATCGTTATTATCACAAGAGGTGTATGTTAAAAATGTATGTATGATAAATAAAATTTCTAACAACAATAATAATTTAAGAAATAGTTAATTAGGCATACATATAAAAAAAAAAAAAAAAAAATGGAATCTAAAAATATTGTTACCTACATAAACCTCAACAAATTTTTTTTTTGAAGTATCAGATATTGTTTCATCAACTTCAAATAATAATTAAGAATAGTACATTTCTTCAAAAATTGAACTTAGAAGATTTTAAATAAGAATACAATAATGACGCTTACTATATCAGAATATTTTATTTATATATATTGAAACATTTGCATTAATAAAAAAACCTTGCATGATAACTATAATCTACTTAGTGTGATAAAAATCTAGATAATAGTAAAATTAAAAAATAGGACTTAAAAACATACTGGTGGTATTATACATCACCGATGATTTAACAATGGGTTAAATAAATGGAATTTTATTTTATTTTCGGGTTTTACAGTACTAACAAGCAGAATTGAATGAAAAAACATCCAACAACAATGTGCTGATAGTGAAATTGCACTAATACATAACATCATTGAATAATAGATCAATTGGAACTAATATATACTGCAGTGGATGAAATGAAATTATATTTCGAAGTAAAATGCTTACCTAAAAGCTTAAGTATGATAAGTCACCATCATCAGTGGATGATGCTATGTAATTTGTAAGCCACCAAGCCAAATTAAAAACTTCCAAAAATTGAGTTCCTTACCTTAATCCTTATCGCCTCGGGGAAAACTTCCACTTTACAGAAGATTCTTGTTATATTCTGACATCTATAATAAAAGCCAAAGAACTTGTTAGGCATATATTGTGCCGAATATCGGAACGCATACATTAAGAAAAGAATACATTTAAAGAGATTGGACACAAAAAAATAAATATTTAATGAAACAAGCTTACCCGAAGCTAAACTATAAACCAGAATTATGATACACGTGAGAATTATAAAGCACTAAATGCTGTTCAACAGCAGTGTGTGTATACTAAATCCAGAGCTGCCAGGTCAGACGCCATGTTCCCTTCGATGTCCAGTTCAAAATCCCCTAATTAAAAAATACATTTATATACAATATTTATTATGCTTTTCTTTAGAATATTTAGGCATAAGTTTAAAAAATGGCTAGTTAAAAATCATTGGACAATCAATTAATTATCAAATAATGTTAGTTTTAAAAGATAAAGTATATACAAGTAGGGGGGGTTAAAATTAAAAGAAATATTTCAATCTTCAATTCAGAGGTTTTAAAATCATTTTGATGTTGTTAAAATATAAAAATTGTACATATTTTTAATTATATAGAATTATAAATATTTAAACACAGCTTCTAAGAATTTTATTTATTTTTTTTATTTTTTTTGTGGGCGTCGGCAGTATGTTTATCAAGGTCAGACATTTTTAGCAATCGGCAATTTATATAATAAGTATATCTACATATATTTATTTAGTTATAATTTATAATAGTTCTTTTAATAACAGATGTCAGGTAACAATGTTGCCGGTTATACTTGATACGCTTGATTTATTCGAAATTGTTTATACAGTTTACATTTTAAAGTAATAATGTAAAAAAAAGAAAAAATATTTATTGAAATATAATTATGTTTGGAGTAACAACAGTTAACAGAATATACGAATAAGATAAAAAAAAGATGTATTTGGGCAACAGCTCTCTTCATATTGTAGCGTAATTTATCGATCCATATACCCAGCATTAATCAGCTTCCATTCTAGAGCATCATTCAATCTTTCATCTTATACTTTTATTATGTATTAAATAAAAATTTTATATTATACTAAAAGAGTTGTCACAATTTGTTCAAAATAAAACTTTTTAAATATTCAGAAAGAAATAATCGGCAATTCATAATATACAATATATAGTAATATTTATTGATACATTTAAAAAAAAAAATGTCGCAAAAATCGTGACAGTATTAACGCATTGAAGTATCAAATACGATCACTGGAACCATTGTCGATTTATTGGAATCGTTAAATTAACGATCCTGAATCGCCTGACTAAATAAAAGGAATTTATTAATTTTCATTATAGTAAATAAAATTAATGCCAATAAATTCTGTAACGACATTTTTATAATGAATTATTCAGTAGTAGTGTATGTAACACCCGAGTGCTGTATTGATTTTTTGAAAGGGAAAACGACCCTAATCGATTTCTCCTCACCGGACCTGACTGCACGAAAACAGGGACTAATTTAAAACTTAAATATTGTTCTCAGATAAGGCTAAATGTAATGAAGCTAGATATATAGACATTTTTATAATCTACTTATTATTAAATAACTGAAATTAGTAATTCGAAATACATTTTTTTGTTTGTTATTTGACGAAAATATATTTTACATAGCAAAAAACAAAATAACCATTTAATGAGACCTATATATGTATATTGTTCCATTACTAAATAAATACCTAACCTAATTTAATATTATTTAAATTTATAATTGTTTTAAACATAAAATAATAATTTTAATATATACGTATACGTTATTTTTTTCAGTCATTAAACAGTGTTAAGTTGGTACACAATTGAGAGCAATTATCAAGTTTCTAAATTCAGCCCTGAGCTCATCGATGACATTATTTCGCCAGTTAAAAGACGAATTCGATGCCATCCATTTTTTTTCGAATCAGTTGAAATGACATAATTTAATATTTTAACTTCACATTTGAATGATCTAAGGACCGAAACAAAATTAGAATGTTTTATCTTTTGATTTTGGCACTCAGTCAGACAGATTTGAAATAGAGATTTAAAAAGGATAGAATAAAATAAAAATGTCTATTTTATCCTTAGTTAATCGGTTTTTGCGCATTAAAATAAAAAAATATATAGTAAAGACACGCCATTTGTATTCGAATATGATTGTCAATACAAAATCGGCTACTTTCGACATTCGTCGGGATTCCATTTACAGTTTGCTAGATGTAATCTTGATATTAACCGGCAACTTGGAGTAGCAATTTGAAACTAGTACCAAAGTGATAATCACATATCTTATATATTATGTCTAAAAGATTTTTTTTTTTTTGTCGTAACGCCATTACTTCGTCAATTCTTCATCAAATCCAATGATTGAACCCTAATTTTAAAGATCTTCTTTACCTTCAAGTGGGAAAAATAGTCACATCCCCCAGAAATGTAAAGAAAAAGAAAATTTATTTGAGAATAACTAAAAAATTATTCATTTTTTTCTGGATTTGTACTCATGATAATTAGAAAGATTTCTAAATTACCTACAATAAAAAAACTGTAAAAATCGGCCAATTATTAACAAAGATACAGTCCATTAGTTTTGGCATACTTTCTAATAATCAGTAAATAATTTATTCATCTTTAAAAATACTGTATTTACTATTCTACTAACTTTTTTTTTCCTGGCTGATATGTACTTTATTATTTCTTAAAGGCATTGTTTTGTTTGTACATTTTATTTTGATGTTACCTTTCTAGTCAGCGTTTAAAAATAGGCCCTAGCAATGCAATCTGTACAAATATTTTGGTCTAATATGTTAAATGGGATATTGTAATCGACCTAGGAAAAATAATTAATTCCTCCCTTACATAATACATAGCATCTACTTATTTCCATATTGTTTTGCTATTCCTTCACAAACAAAATTTTTGTGCGAATTATTCACACGGGCCAACTAGTCATCGGTTTATTGAAAAAATCATTAATTGGCATTTGTTAAACTCAGAGAATTAACAACTTAGATGAATTTTATCTTTTTGAATTAAAAAAATTGTGCAATGCTGAATTTAGGGATGACCTGATGGATAGCAGCGGAAAGTTAAAACTCCTGAAAGCTTGTAATACATGAAAAATAAAAAAAACTTGTATTTCCCTTTGAAAATTCAGATTCGAAAATTTTCACGATCGCAATTTAAACTATAAATAATAAATAAAAGAGTATGTAAAAGAGCCATTTATGGTATTTTTGTATGTATACATACAGTGGCGGCCTTAAGGCCCGGGACACGGGTGGATCTACGGGGGAGGGCTTTGGGGTTGAAGCTCCCCCAAAATGGTAAAATATAATCATGTTTTATGGAAAAAAATTATCTCTTAAAGTATTATTGTTCGTATAATTACATTTAAAAGGATTTTAGGAATCACTTAAACACCATTTCATATAAGTAGTTAGTTTTTTTCTTTTTTTCCTGAGTAATTACCGTTATTTTTATGAAAACAAAATCTTTCGGGCTGAAGCCCCCCCCAAAATTAAATCCTGGATACGCTAGCGCCTCAGGATGCCGACTCAGATAGGCGCTTTTGCGGGATGCCGCACAATAGACTGATTAAGAGAACACTCACGACATCGGCTAAATCAAATTTTTTCTTCAATTCAACTATTCAATAAAAATAGAGAAAAATGTATATTGTGCCAACTGAAAATATTCTCGGAAACTCCACGAACAACACAGAGAATTAATAAAACAGTTCGTCTAGTTTTAGGAGTTCTAAAAAAAAAACAAAAAAAAAATAGATTTAGACAGATTCAAATAGATATCGCGAGTTTTTCTTTATTCGTCGCACTGTGCACTAGCCGAACTTCGGAGGCATCACTAGCGGATCCAGGATTTAATTTTTGGGGGGGGGGGACTTCAGCCCGAAACCTTTTTTTTCATAAAAATAACGATAATTACTTTGCAAAAACAGAAAGAAACTAACTACCTATATGAAATAGTGTTTAAGCTATTCCTTAAGTACTTTTAAATGTAATTACACAAACAATAAGACTTAAAGAGGTATTTTTTAAATTTTTTCCCATAAAACATGGTTATATTTTTCCATTTTGGGGGGGGCTTCAGCCCGAAAGCCCCTCCCCCCGTAGATCCGCCCGTGGGAGGCACTCTTTTGTTAGAAAAAAAAATTATAAAAAACGTTTTAAAATAATTAAATTTAGCCTAACAATAGAGCAACTGTATTAGAGAAATTTAGAATTAAATAAAATTTAATATTACAATATATAAAACACCTAAAGAAATAAATTTAATTTTGTAGGTGGGATGACGTCAATGGCCGGGGGCGCCGAATGTCTAAGGTACTGGATACATAAGGTCGAAATTCACAAAAATATATTTAAAAGTTTATATACATATAAAAACGGGTTAATGGTTGACTGTCGTGAATAATAAAGAGAAGAATGGTTGGGGTGATCAGTCAGAAATAAAAAGGCTAAAATAAATAATATTTATTTTGACATTTGCCGAAGTTTCGACCTGAAGTTCAGATCTTCATCAGGGTTAGGAAAAGAACCAGATAACAAGGTATGAGAACCAAAATACTGTAGGTAAAAAAATTAAAGTAAAATTAAGTTGTTAAAAAAAATGGCAATAGTATGAACTAAGAGATAAATAATAATAACCGTTACAAAGTGTGGAATGATGAAGCAAACATAATCGAAAAAGGTGACATAAGTATTAAAATGGTAATCTTAGAATAAAATATAAAACAGAAAAAAGGAATATGAAGTTATATAAGAAATGAAAATATTGAAAATAGAAAAGTTAGATAGAAGATTGAGATATTGTAAAGTCTATCAAAATTTACTGACAAAGCATAATAGAATAAAGAATACTCAAAATAAACATTATTATTTATTCTTGCCTTCTTATTTCTGACTGATCACCCCAACCATTCTTTCTTCATTAATATATATATATATATATAGTAGATTAAGTAATATTGGGCAAGTTTTTAAAGTCAGCATGAACTCATCGGTGGCATTATAAATCCATCAAACCATTCCTAAGCCCACAGATGAAAACCATCGATTGAATTAAATTAAATTAAATTAAATTTGAGCGTCAATTTATGCAGCGGTTAAACCCCCGCTGGCTCAGCGTTTTCCAAAGCCGATGAATACGCTGTATGTAATCTCATTATAATTTCAGTATTGTTATTTATTAATTTACATAATTATATGAAATTTAACTGAAATTAATTCAGTCATAACTTCTTTATACATTTTTTAAATTTTTTATGTATCACAAGATTTCAGGAGT